TTGATACTACCGGGTCGTAATGGGTTAAAAGGAGATCAGAGGACAATATTTGTTTAACGTCCTCAAAGGGTTTCTGACACTTCGATGACCAATGCCATACTGACTCGTTTACCATTTAGTGGAGCCCTGAGTTCATGCATCTGACGGACAAAGTTGTGATAATCGTTAACTAGACCCAAGTAAGACGGCAAAGTAGCTTTGTTCATGGGGTATGGCATTCACTTGATGGCTTTTATTTTGTTTGGGTCTGGCCGACGACCGGAACTGTCGATCACAGAGCCAAGGTATGTGATATTGGACATCATGAGCTCGCACTTCTCTGGACGTACACGAAATCCATATGGATCTGTTCTGGAAAATACTTCGTTTGGGTGGGTGTAATGATCTTCAGTGGTGGAGCTTACAATTATTATGTCATCCAGATAAGTCATGGCACACTGTAATCTGGATAGCATTAGCGTCCATCACTTGTTTAAAAATCGCTGGAGCACATTTTACTCCGAAAGACAACCGATTGTAACGCTAAAATCCTCGATGTACATTAATAGTCAGTTCTTTTGGGCGCTCTTCAACCATTACTTACAAGTACGCATCAGCAAGATCAATTTTAGCAAGGATCTTTCCTCCATTATGCTTTGTGAATAAATCCTCGGGAACAGGTAAGGAATATTGATACTCTTCCAATGCGTTATTTAATCTTGTGGAAAAATCAGCACAACTTGGCAAACTACCATTAGCCTTCCTGATGACTACAATAGGGGCGACCCACACGGAGTAGGTCACAGAACTGATGTCGCCCATGGACTCCAGTCGACTAATTTCGGCATCCACAGCCTCAACAGCAGCGTACTGCACTGATTTTTTGGGACAAAATACTGGACATACACCGGCACGCAGATACAACACAGCTTTTACCTTAGAACACATTCCAAGACTTTCTGCAAAATCCTTGGGATACTTAGTGACAAAATGTGATAAAGCTTCTACACTATCTTTAAACGTTACGGGTGCAGCCGAACACTGGAAATCGGTGGGACACAGTGAAAAAGTATTTGGGTTATCACAAATACTGTTCAAAGATGTTACATAAATTAAGTTTGTCTTCCCAATCAATGCCTAACAAGTTCAAGTGTCCATAACGTGTAACGTAACAAACACCATTAGCATGCAAATTGCGAGATGCAAACTCACATTTGAACTGTCCAAGAAAGCGTACTGCCGAACCGGATGCGTCTTCAGCGACGTGTGAAGTTTAAACACATGCGGGTTTACCGAACTTACTCCATGTCGACTCAGAGATTATTTTGGTATCGTAAGCCGTGTCCAGTTGAAGCTGCACGGAAACACCGTTTATCGCAATCGTAACATACTTCGCATTGACTAGTAGTTCGGCCTAGTGGTTGAAAACACCACATTCGAAAGGCGACGTTGCAAATTTGGAGTTTCGGCAAAGTTTCGTGACGGTCTTCCAAAAATCTGGTTTCCTTAAGTCCCATTTTCTCACAACGCTTACAAACGTATTGTCTAAATTCACAAAATCGAATGAAATGCTACTGACCACCAATTTGAGGCTTTCATTGTGGTTTCCTACCAGCATTCTCAATCTTGTGGTTCCGATGCAGATGGGAGGTACCATGGAGGCGGCGTTTTTATGGGACGAGAAGGAAAGTGAAAGGGGTTGACGAAATTGGAACCATCAACCAAAACCCGACGAGTAATACACAATCATGCATGATAATCCAGAATAATGCAGCTCAACTTCAATGTTGGACTTGAAGAACCCGCTCAAGTTATTTGTGAGTAAGATCAGCAGTACGCCGGTACGCAGTACTGGCGCTTCGCTACTGCGCAACCACTGCCAGTCGCACGTAAGCCAAGGTTACTGCGATGGTCGCCCGGTCCCTGCGCATGCTCGAACCCGCGCCCTCGGATTACAAGGCAGACTTGTGCTCCCCTTAAGGTTACTGGCTAGCGAGTAGCAGAAACTCGCTAGTTGGTGCAGGTTTACTCAGATACTAAAGGAAAGAGAAAGCTAGAACTCATTCATCAATGTAGCACCATATGATTTTTCAAAATATCAGCTGCGTATGCACATAAGAGGGAGTTAAGGCAGTGTGAGGTGCCTGAGCATTCCTAGATTTAGTTATCGAATTTACTTGATCAAGCAAGTTATGTTATGTGCTACGGGCTTGTTGAGATTGTAGCTCGTTGGCTTCAGCCTTCACTTATAGTTGGGGATTTATGGCTTACGTGGCTTTGCGACTGAAAAGGTACTGTTGAAATAGGGATAAATAAATAAATAAGCGTTTATTCTGTACAATGCTGGATACACTCATCAAGGCATGATGAGTAAATTACGGTATTGTATAAAATATCGGACACGGGGTGATTAGGAAAGCGTACAGATAGCTAACCGCTTTTTGGCATACAGATAGGAAAGTAAGGAAAGGCACTATAAATAAAATGAAGTACCTAGTTTGAGGAATAAAATAATGAGTGATATCGATGAGCGAATAGGAAGGTATAAATGAAATAATCAGAAACAAGTGTCACAACAGATTTAGGCTAAGAGGTAAGTGTAGCAGGAATGATCAAGCGAAGTACTACGGTCATCCGTTGACTCTCTTTGGGACCTGCTTCCATGCCGGTTAGTCCCTCCACAGGTTTCACCCGCTGCTCCACACCCATTGTACTCATGTGTTTGCATGCCTGAGAAGCACGCTAGCCGCCACCGATTTTAGTAATCATTTGGGCTTCTTTTTCGTAAGCTGTCCACTCAAGCCAGTCATAGTTTTTCGTGTGTGCATGGTGACCGAATTCACCGGAATTGGCGGTATATGCCAATAAGTGTGAATTCAACACTTCATAGTGTAATGTTTTTTAACTTCAGCATAGTTTTTACGTTGGCGAAGGGGTCTTTGACTATCCGCCTCCTGTAGCAAAACATTCTGCTTGAAATCTTCATACCATCATCTCAATCGATCGGCCTAGTTGTGATCAACAAAGAAACAACAACCAAACCGAAGAATATGATGAAATCAGTCCCTCTACCTTGAATCCTCAGTGTCTGCGAGAAACCATTCCCTGAGTTTCCCATGGCAAGTGAGGTTCGCCAGCATTGTTTTATGTTCCCTTTCCTCTTCAACTTTGTTATCCAAATGACCATGAGTGATTCTGTTCTGACACTCTCTACCGGAGTGGGAGTTCTGCCTGGCGATCGACTGACAAACCTAGGGTATGCGGACGACATAAATATTCCTGGGTCTGACTCAGTTGCTATACAAACACTGCTGGATAGACTGACGCGTAGCGTTGCACGCTTCGTCATGCGCTTCACACTTCAAATTGCAAAGTATTGCTTCAGGAGTGGACCGATACACATATCCGGTTCCAGCTATCACCGAGCCGCCACTTGAAGTGGCGGATCGGTTCACTTACCTTGGTAGCTGTGTCACCTCTGATGGTCACATCACTGATAAGGTTATTTCGCTTATCAGCAAGGCCCGTGTAATCATAAGAATGATGCGTCAGCTGTACGCCGTAACGGCGCTTCGCTGCCGCGCGACCACCACTAGTCGCGCGTGGGCTGAGTATACCGCGAAGACGCCCACGTCTACGAGGATTCGAACCGGTGACTTTATGGTTACAAACCAGGTACGCAGACCACTCGGCCACCGGCCGACCAAGGCCCGTGTGGCTTTCCAGGGGGCACAACCATCTAGGGAGCCGGCGGGATATCAGATTGTCAGTAAAAGGTAGGGTGTATAACGCTGCAATAAGGCTTGTGTTACTGTATTGACCAGAGGTGGCCATTTCACGGCGGCGGCATTAAACGCTTGGCCATGTTTGACCACCGGTGCTTTCGTTGTATTGCTCAAGTTTGGTGGGAACACCAAGTGAGCAGTGCTGAGGTCCGCCACTTAGTTTTTGCAAAAAAACCTGTTTCCTCACTCGAGCGTTTGTTGAATCTTAATAACTTACCTTGGCTTGGCCATGTCTTTCATGTGCCCGTTGATCGGCTTCCTCGGCGTGTATTATACGCCGTGGCTGCAACAAATTGGGTGAAACCTTGAGGTGGTCAGTCCATAACGTGGCATAGAGGCCTGAAGAAATTGCTTGAGAGGACTGGTCAGGTTGTTACGTCCCCTTTTCATGAATGTTGGCCTCGGGACAGTCCACACTAGTGGTTAGAGACCATGTCAGACATGGCGCAGTCACGAGGTCAGTGGCGTTTCTGCATTTCGCTTCTTTCATCTGATTGTTAATTTTTATTCCATTCTGGCTAGTCCTACGCATTTATTTCTTGCTTCCAACTTCTTTACATTCTATTTGCCTTTAGCCACACTGGCTTGTCGTTGTGATTTCTTGTTATCCTTGCGATGTAAGTCGTGGCAACTGGGTCCGCCGCTCTTTGATGCTCGGATCCCAGTTGATCATGTGAACTAATATAATGAAATAAGATAACAGAGAAGTGGTAAGAGGTAACAATGAAATAATTAATCAAATAACCTATCTGGCGACAGTGCAGGATGCCATCCTATTCGTTGGTATGATAAATGTTTACAGGAATTAAGAAAAACCGGTTTCAAGTTGTTAATAGCTTTTTCTTTCAACACATACATAGTGGTGCGAATTGTTAGGTTAGCCTAGTCCAGCAGAATAGTGAAGCATTTGATGAAAGTAAGAAGTCAGAGATAAACAGTTTTCTTCTTCACCTGCGGGGCTTGTCAATCCCGAGTAGAACAGGAGGTGTACTGGGATCGGCTGAGCCTGCATCATCTATCACACACTATTTGGGTCAGATGCAATTATCACATTTTAAACCACTTGAAAACCGAATGTTTTCATTTTATTCGACAACACCTTTCCTTGCAAAAGCACATCTGATTATCTGCTTGATGCTTTTGGTTGTTGGCTTAGTGAATAGTGTGTAATCACTTTCGAACTTCTGGTTAATACACTTGCGTTATCGTATTTCCTATTTTTTTCTGTCTTTACAGCCTAACATGAAACTCAGAACGTTGCTTCCACTTGTGTTGTTAAATTTCATACGTGTTTTGAACTTTGTCGCCGCTTTTCCTGCTGTGTACGGTATCCTTCCGGAGACTTATGCGTCTATTGTGGATAACGTCTTCATCATACAATCCAACCATCCAGTGTTGGTTAATCTCTTCGGAACCGACTTGAAAGATATCACCCACATTGGTTTTGCGGCCACCAAGAAACCCGGAAACACTTCGTGCGAGCACGAGCGCGTCACGGAATCCTTCAAAGTTGTTGCTGAAAGTCAACATGTGGCAACCAGCGTGGTTACACTTCGTGAGTTATCAAAGAATGAGAACGCATTTTATCTGTGTGTACGGACTACGCCCCCTGCTCTTACAATCTCAGCATCAGTTGGTGATTTTGATAGCAACACATCTGATATGTCCCAGCTTTGGTCATATGCAGGTGGTGCGGGTTCGGAAAGTCGCATCATGTTACGAACCACAAGCACTTTAATGCCAATCTGGGTTCAAGTCATCCTCATCGTTATCTTGTTCTTCCTGTCTGGATTATTTAGTGGCCTTAACTTGGGTCTCATGTCTCTGGACAAAACAGAGCTCAAGATTATCGAGAGTGCCGGCTCACCGGATGAGAAGACTTACGCAAAAGCGATTCGTCCTGTTCGGGAAAAAGGAAACCTCTTACTTTGCACTTTACTTTTGGGCAATGTGCTTGTGAATACCTCGTTAACAATTCTGATGGATGATTTGACCGGAAGTGGCTTGTTCGCTGTAATTGCTTGCACCATTGGAATTACTTTACTTGGAGAAATAATGCCTCAAGCTGTGTGCTCACGCCATGGGTTGGCAATTGGCGCCCGGACGTTGTGGTTGACTAAACTTTTCATTTTCCTGACTTTTCCTGTGGCTTTTCCTATTAGCTTCGTGCTAGATAAAATACTAGGCGAGGAGATGGGGCAAGTATACAGTCGTGAAAAGTTGGGCGTACTGATTCGGGAGCAAGTGAGTTTTAATCTTTCATATTTACGGTACGGGAGCTTGCCTTGCAATTTAATACTTTCATTACTAAGTAACCAAGCGCGTCTACTGTTTGATTTAGTTTTAAGGTTTACATGTTTTTTGTTGATGCGCAATTAATGCATCGTCACCACAACCTCGGGTGGTTTGAGTTGTCAAAAGCGCTTCGCTCAGAGTAATTTTCTCTACTATGGTCCATACCCATTTTTAACTTACCCCCTTTTCGATTCATCCAATTTTGCAAAAAGGGTTTCTGACCTTGGACTGTCTAGTATGCCCTATTCCTTATTAGCCTATGTTTATTACTTGGATATTTACTCAGATGATCAGTAATTCATGCGTTTTGTTGGGTTTGAAGTCGTGTTTCAGACGATATTTGCAAGCGATTCCAGGATGTTTGAGAGTCCAACTTATTATCCGATCAGCTTTAGGTTATGTACGTTGTACGTTACTCGGTTCAACCGTGTTTTGGCTTAGCAAAACGCATATGGGACTTTAGAGCTGCCTGATACATGTGGGACACTGCAGTTGGGTTACGGGACAGCTAAATTTCACTCATCTGAAGTAGTACAGTTGCATGCATTTGAGGAATTGGACAATAATGGAGATTAATGATACAGGAATTGAGTGGTATGTAGATGGCGCGTAACTGAAATGAACGTGTTACTAGAGCATCAGTCTTTCGTGTTACCTACGGAGGGTTCAATACCGAGTTTCAATATTGGGCGACCTGCTACCCGGATTGCCTAGGTCAAAGTAGGGGTAGTCTTAGGAGGCTAACACTCTAAGACCTTGGTCGGAGGTTTGCCTATTTGGCAACATAGCGATATAACGAACTCGTACTCCTTGGTGTCAGTGACCAAATATTCAATTCCTACTTCGAATTACTAGAAAGCATACCACTGGTCCACCGGTTCTTACATCCGGGCAATATCCGATGATCAGATAATGTGCCAGTGTACTAGGTTGGTGTTTTTATTTAGAAGTGAGTCACATCCACTGCGTCATAGTGCTTTAATTCAGCTTATGTGAACTCTATAGGAAAGACGCGGGCATAGTGGAAGCTCAATAAGCCTTCAAATGCTGCCAAAAATTGTCTTTGATTTCTTGTTCATCTCCATAGGAAGCAAGTGAGACTAATACTTCACTGTTAACCCTACAATAAAGGCACCGTATCCAGTCCGCAATCTTAGGACCACACACTCTTCCGTTCCCAGCTTGGCTACAGCTGAGTAGTCGCATATACACGAAGATGTAACTCAACCACTTGGCTAAATGAACTGAATCATAGGTTTGGTTATATTCAGTATTAGTGGTTTTCAATCTCAATTCTGATAAATGCTTTGCGAGTGCTAAGCACTTGCCTAAGCATGCAGCGTTAGTGACGGTTTAACAAAAACCGGCCCAAACAGAACTACACCATCCGCTTACTCCAAATGTAACAACGGTCGGTCAGTTGACAGAATGCTTACCACGAGCAATGTTAAAGAGGGCGTTATCTCGAGTGGCTCATAATGTATGTAGACGCAGAATCTATAAACTGCTCAACTTCGCTATGAAATCGAATCAGTAAACGCAGCTTCAATTAACCTGAAATGCTCTTTTGATTATGTTAGCAAAGGGAACAATGGATGAAATTATGTAAATCCACACATCCGGACATTGCAGAAACCTGGTGAAATTATCGCGCACATTGATTATGTCAACCTCACGCTAAGGTTAATGTTGCATTCATGATGCTCCTTCACCGCAGTTGGGCTAAACCAACTTAGTCTCAAGCTAGATCTTTTTAATCTGGATGAAAGTCATTCCATTTTATTTGGTTTGTTTAATCCTGTTATTCTGCCGCATGTTCTGTGTCAGTTTTGTTTGTTTGCTTTCTCTCAAATTCTATGTTGGTTGCTTGATTCCCTCGGTGTGGCTGCGCTTGATGTGCATGTTGACAAGGTACCTACCTGTCTAACACCCTCTACCTCGATTACTGGCTCCACGGGAATGAATCGTTGCTGGAGGGGGGCACGAGATTCACGGTCCTCGTAGCCATGCTTGGCTCAAAGAGTGGTTTCATCCAGTGTGGAGCGGATCATGTCCCAGCCAGCGCCTTTATTTTCGCCTGGTACGCATGGTTCCCTACCTAGATAGACAGGAATGCTGCATCTACGCTTGTTGAAGGAATGTGGGCCGGCTCCGTTGATGAAACGTGGCTCCCATCCACATGCTTCCCGTTCTTATTCCTTCAGGTTTGCACTGGGTATGAGGTATGTGGATAGAGCTGTGGGCGGTGCAACACGAGCCACTCATGGTTTCTCTGTAGGCGTAGTCCTCCTGTAGCTCTCCTATGGTGGCCTCAGTGACAGGCAAATCGCCGCCAACCCTGTGGGAACGTTCCTTCAGTCAGTTATCAGTTGTTCGTTTTTATGCGCGAGTTCTAGTTAGTTGCTTACTTAATAATATCTCCGTATCCGAGTCCCAAATGGTTTAACTACTGCGCAAGCTAACTCCTACAAGAGCTGCTGACGTCAATGTCATTTATCCCAGTTCTTTCTATGGACTGACATATGCAATTTTTGAGATCGTACCGCGCTTGTTTACGAAGTTTCTCTGGTTGCACCCTACCTACTGACTGGAAGAATGGTTTTAAAAAGAAATTAGCAATAGTACTAGTATTAGCAACAGTCTGACGAGTAAACATAGAGCCATAAAACTCCATGGAAACCAATAGAAGAAGATAGGTCGGGTCGTCGCATCGTCATCATGGCACATTACCTGATGACAGGCAACACACTTCAATTATTGTGTCGGAACAAAAAAGGAACAATTTTTTGTTATTCTGTGCACGCCCTTTTTTCTTTTTTGTCCTTTTCAATTATTAAGCATTATTCATCTGTATCTAAGCAAGTATGTATAAACAAGATAAAGAGGGACCCACGACTTTTCACTTGTCTTACAAATGCATGAATTTACCACCAGAGTCAAACACGCGCAATTAACACGACGAGAAGATGAAGAACATACAGCCCTACGGTCACGCTGCAAATCCAGGGAGCTTGTCAAAATACTGCATCGTAGAACCAGTGACCGCTTTCCCCTGATTACCGAAATTGTTGATGGTGAAGGTCACTTACTGCATGACCCAAATGAAATCTGTGAAGCATACAGTGACATTTTTGCCACTACCATGAGTCACGAAGCTGACCCAGTGCCTGTGTGCACAGAGCTCACAGAAACAAACCCCTTAAGCAGAGTCGATATCTCACTCAACGCTATCCATCAAATTTTCAAATTAATCAGGCCATCTTCCAAGCTGGGATCTGATGGCATTTCACCAACCACCATTAAACTAGGAGGACCTGATATACCATTGCTACTGAGGAGCATGTTCACTCTATCGGCCGGTGGCCGAGTGGTCTGCACGTTTGCTTTGCAACCATAAGGTCACCGGTTCGAATCCGCGTAGGGGTGGGCGTCCTCGCGGTATACTCAGCCCGCGCGCGACTGGTGGTGGTCGCGCGGCAGCGAAGCGCCGTTACGGCGTACAGCTGACACATTATCATTATTATTATTATGGCCACTTTCCAGACCAATGGAAAACGTCATTTATTATGCGTCGGTATAAAAGAGGTCCCAAACAAACGATTGATAACTACCGACCAATCCACCACACTCCGATAATCGCTCGGCTATTTGAAAAGCTGGTCAGAATGGATATGATGAACTTTGTTGTTTCTATTGGCCTGATCAACACCGCAGCATGGTTTCATCAGTAAGCGATCGTGCACCAACTGTCAACTGCATTACCTTAATCACATTTCAGAATCAATCGAATCCGGCCATGCTGTAGTAATCTTGTTTCTTGACATACACCAATCGTTCGACCGAGTACCGCACAAGCGACTGCTGCAAAAGTTGGAGAACATTGAGATCCGGGTCCCAATACTAGGTTGGCTATCGTCATACCTGGGTGATCGTCATCAGGTAGTCACTTTATGTGATTATCCCTTTTCCCCACGCTCCATCATCAGTGGAGTCATTCAAGGGAGCGTGTTCAGTCCATTACTCTTTTTGCTCTACATCAATGACATCACCACATCTGTACAACATAGTACATCATTTTTATTTGCTGACGATATCAAACTAGTCTAAAAGTTTCGGCGTGACGAGATTCACGAGACGCTACTGCTCATTCAATATGATTTACATTCCCTTAAGTCATGGTGCTGCACATGGGTGATGAACCTCTCGGCTAAGAAATCAAGCATCATGTCTTACGGCTGCTGCATCCCCGAAGGATCTATTACCCCAAACAATGAACGTGTCCCTACACACTTGTCCACGTGAGATCTTGGAATTAGGTATTCGTCTACCTTCAGTTTCTGCGAACAGGGCCCATACCAAGTAGCACGTGCCAGACAGCCTATGTTCAATATATCAAACAAAATACACACAACTCGTGCTAGAGTTGAGCTTTTCAAGCTACTCATTCGCCCCATCCTCGAATACTGCAGCATAATATACAAAAGAATGAGCAAGAGTGACAGAATTGTTGTGGAAAACCTTCAGAGCTCATTTACTAAACATCTGATTGGTAAACACTCTGCTATGAGTCATCGAGAACGTTGCAATGAACTTCGTCTCGAACCACTTTGGATTCGACGATTGAAACACAACTTGTTGCTGCTTTTCAACATGTTACACATAAGGACCTATTCCAACCTGCCTACACTCAATTTACAAATTGTTCAATTCGAGCGCTTCGCAACAAAGATTTTACATTGAATATACCGAAGGCTAGAACGAACGTCCGCTCTAATTTCTTCCTAGTCAGCTAAAGCTATCTGTGGAATAAACTACCAGTAACGCTCAGGTCATGTGACAATAAAACAACATTTAGTAGCAGACTCGTCAATTACCTTGATCTAACTACCCTAAGCTCTATATTCACATGGGAAAAATCCCTCGGTGAGCTATTCCAAGTGGGGCCCAAAAACATATGAGCACCAATGTTTTCATAACTAGACTGGCCTCAATCATCCGCCAGAATGCTAATACATGAAACGCACATCCCAATACTCCACCTATGCATGTCACCTATGCAAGAGCATGGATTCTTCTGTACAAATTGATTTGTGCCGCTATAGACAGTTTCTCTCATCAAGAGAAATACACCTATGATTATTATTATTATTAAGTATGCCCCATGCTGAGGCTGATGTTGCATTCATGATTCTTCTTCACCGCAGTTAGGTTAAACTAACATACCGTTAAAGTAGTACTTTTAAGCTGGGTAGCTTTCATTCCACTTTATTTAGTTCGTTCTGCCTACCCGAATAATCTTCTGTTAACTTGCACACATTGCTTACGCTAATTCTGCTTATCTTCATTAACTTTTTTGCGTTTGTAGCACTTTTTAAGTAACTTGTGAACAATTTGTACTTATCGCGGGTGCGTTGCTAACCAACTTACTTCATATGCTAATCTAGCGAAGTTAGGTCGGCATAGCCGTATGTTTTAAGAGATATATTTTATTTGATAATGTCATTTCAAGTGATTGGCTGTTTGACATCTCCGGTGTGACAAGGTACCTACCTGTCTATTACCCACTACCTCGTCCACACTGGCTCCAGGAGACAGTTGGTCGTTGCTGAAGGGGACGGGGTGCACGGTCCTTGTGGTCGTGCTAGGCTCGAAGAGTGGTTCCATGCAGCCAGTGTGGAGCGGACTACGGTCCAGACACCGTCTTGTGTGAGTCTGATTCCCCAAATACAGCGTGCTTGTGTTTGCCTGTGAAGGAGTGTGGGCCGGCTCCGTTGATGAAACGTGGCTCCCATCCACATGCCTCCCGGTCTTATTCCTTCGGATTTGAATATATATATATATATATATGGTTGGCGGCATCCGGTCTCGGGTTTGCCTGTCACTGTGGCCACCCACAGGACGCCTGCGCCTACACAGGGACCTTGGGTGACTTGCGCTGCACCACCCACAGCTCCATCCACATACCCCAAATCCAGTGTAGACCTGAAGGAATAAGGCCGGGATGCATGTGGATGGGTGCCACGTTACATCAACGGAGCCGGCCCACACTCCTTCACAGGCAAACACAAACACACTGTATTTGGGAATCAAGCGCACACAAGGCGGTGGCTGGACCGTAGTCCGCTGCACACTGAGTGCATGGAACCACTCTTCGAGCCTAGCACGACCACAACGACCGTGCACCCCGTCCCCTCCAGCAACGACCAACTGTCTCCTGGAGCCAGTATGGACGAGGTAGTGGGTAATAGACAGGTAGGCACCTGGTCAACATGCACATCAAGCGCAGCCACACCTGGGATGTCAAACAACAGCCAATCACTTCAAATCACATTATCAAATAAAATATATCTGTTAAAGCATACGGTTATGCAGACAACTCTACCCTAAATTAGCATATGAATTAAGTTGGTTAGCAACGAATCCGCGAAAATTACAAAATGCCCAGAAGTTACTCAAAAAATGCTACAAACGCAATAAAGTTAACGAAGAAAACCACAATTAGCGTAAGCTACGTGGCCAGTTAATAGAAGATTAGTCAGGTAGGCAGAACAAACCAACCAACCAAGTGGAATGAAATGTAGCCAGCTTAAAAGGACATAGTTTAAGTGTAAGTTGGTTTAGCCCAACTGCGGTGAAGAAACATCATGAATTCAACATCAGGCTCAGCATGGGGCGCATATATATATATATATATATATATATATATATATATATATGTATTTATATATTTACCGACAGACGGTACACGGCCCCATAAGTGGGAGTGATCATTTGTATAGTGGTTTATGAGGCGTAAATCATAATAGTATAGAAAAGCGTAATAACAGAATTTCGGATCATGGTTTTTTCCTCGGATCCTAGACACCTGCACCCAATATGTAAAAGTTACTGATGTTTGTATCATCATTTTCTAGTTTATGGGGCTTAGGACTAGATAATAAATGAGAGGGGCTACTAGGCTGCACAGACACAGGATTTGGTATTGTAGGTAATGACATGTAGTGCGTAAGCTAGTTGTAAGCGAATATCTGCTCATATGTTTTCTATGCCAGCTTCCGTCAATGTTTCTAGAGTTTGCTGTGAGTCGAATATCTTCAACACATTTGGTATAGTGAAGAACGTCTGAATCTTTTTCTTGGGTGCCGTATGCACCAAGTCTTTCGGGCCTCGCTGTTGGCTTTGTCTCTATAAATCTACGTGGATAACCATTTGCAACGAGTGTTGTGGTAATTAACTCTAGCTCGTCGGCTAGACAATCAGCGGAGCAAATTCGTCTAGCACGACTAACTAGAGTTTTCACAAGGGTCCGCTTGTACACCGCACTGGTGCGAAGCTGGTGAAGTGTAGGTATTGGCCGGACCAGGTTGCTTTTCTGTAGAGAGACCTTCTAATGAGCCCGTCATTGCGACTGATGAGGATGTCTAAGAATGGCAGACACTTCTTCTGTTCCACTTCGCAGGTGACCCGCAAGTTGGTATGTGCGCAGTTGAGTTGCTGCACCAACTGGACAGTCTGCTGCTCCGATGAACAAAAGGCCAATATGTCATCAACATAACGCTTATGGTATGGCAACGGGGCTATTTCTGTGGATATGTCTCTTCCTACCATCAGCATGAAGAAATCAGCAACTACAGGGCCTAGTGGGCTACCCATTACCACACCATCGAGTTGCCATTCAAGGGTGACTTTACTGTATTGAAAATCACGAAAAGTTTAATCTTTGCTACGCAGAAGTTACTGTGCTGCTCAGGTTGTGGTCATCAATAGAACCTGTAACTTGCTGGTGCCTCCAACGAAGGAAGCTCAACCGATAGGGGCCAACTCACACTGCATACACAAATTCGTATGCGACTGCGGAGACAGTTACATGGGCAGAACCAATCGGTCTTTGACTTCCCGAATAAAGGAACACGTGCCAAGGTCGGTTCAACGTGAAATTGACCAGCATCCCTGTCCCACTGAAGTTCCGTGCTTGCGCAAACCGCCAGCTTCCTCAATAGGTAAACACGTACTGACTACGCGTCACCGGATAGAGCTGGGATCAACGTTCACACTTGTATTACGTCACCCTAATCCCGGCTTCCTCCGTTTCGCCGAGGCCGTTGCGATAAGCCGGATGAAGCCGGCCCTCGTTGTTCTAAAGCAATTATTTATCAGTTTAAGACTGCCGTGGACATAGTGGTGGAACTTCCGTCATTCATTTTTCACCTCATGCTTAATCGGTCACACGCATATTTAATTATATAGTTGCATACCGGTTATAGTTAATGGTACTGAGGAGAATACGAAATGCACGCATCTACCAGTTTTCGTCTTCTTACCATGCTTTTCAAATTTCTGAAGGAAACTAACTGCTATATATATATATATATATATATATATATATATATATATATGGCACGGATGCCGCCAACCATGTATGACATAATAATGAACTTAGACGTTGACATCCGAGTGATCTGCAAACAGAGGGAGTCACATGTTTCATAAATTTCTGCACCTTTCCTATGCGTTTTTTGTGGTGCTTACCTACTCACCTGCAGCACTGCGTGCGAGGTACATAATCGGTGCTCCGCGCCAGCTATTGGTTATGCATGCACTTCATAGACATGCCACCGTCATCTTTATGATGACGGCTCATTAGGTCCGTTAGTTTCACCGTTCACTTCTCAGTCAATCACTTACCCTCACCCAGCTTGCATAATATTTTAACCCCTTTTAAGGCACTCGCTGGAACCGTGGCAGCGGACGAGATGAACATAATCACCGGAGCGCTCGCGTTGACCACTAAAACAGTGGCCGATGTGATGACGCCGTTGTCCGATGCATTCATGCTATCGTATTCGGACATTTTAGACTTCAACACCATGAATAACATATATTCGCATGGATACACGAGGATACCTGTGTACGAAGGTGATCGACGCAACATTCGGGCAGTGTTAAACGTGAAAGACCTGGCATTCATCAACACGGATGACAATGTACCCGTATCCACTGTCTGTGACTTCTACAATCGATCCATTATCATTGTACTGGATACAACCAATTTGGAGTCGATGTTGAAAGAGTTTCGTCAGGGTAAGCATTTGTGCTGAAGTCCATCGCTGATGTCTACTTTATGTCGCTCCGGTTGTCGTTGCTGCTTTTCCTTGCCTTTAGTGTCAATCACACATAGAATCATTTCCGTCTACCATTTGCATTTTCAACCTGACATAGCAAAGATGGCATTAGCCTTCCACCGTGTGCCCCATTCGGCTTTGTGTTTGCTCGTGGTTTAAATACTTACATAAGCAAATATCTTGTACTTGATTCACTGTTTTCCTCGGTGTACACTCTTTAGACGTTCCGTTATGGCCTCGCATCTTCTTGTCCGTTATCTTCAGATTTCCGTACTTTTTCATAACTAGTATATGACCTGTAGACAGGGTTACTCAGGTCGCAGACCGCGATCCACTTCGTTCTGTCTTCACTGAACCTCGGAAACCCGTCTTCCTATAACCCTCAAATCTATAGTTTTTCCTGCGTCTAAAGCATTCTTCCTGAACACTACCTCACTAGTACTGTCGTTCATACGATCTTGTCTGTTTACTGCACACTCTCGATTCGAGCCCACATAGGTACAGACGAATTTGCGATATTCTGTTCTCCGCACGCACTGATGATACTTGCTACGCAGCGAGACGTCTGTACAGACTTTTTGCGGACTTTCTGGGGCCTTCACTCACAATCCTTTCCGACCGCAACAGGTTACCGCGCTTTCGCTGTTATCGACCATGGAAATCCATCTCCGAAACCCAACACTGCTCCGCCTCCTCCTTTATAGGGGGCGTTGCCACCGCCTCAGTAGCTCGCAGTGTATAGCAACTTGACGTCTTTTATCCAGTCGCAGAGTTTGCTTTCAGCCCACTGAGGCACCCTGTTAGTTTACCTACTCAGTGTTCTAGATTGCCACCCCCACTATCTGGGAACTGTATTCAAAGCGGCTATCTTTTCACTTTTCAATCAGCAAGCACGTGAAAGTAGGGAAGCGCACTTTCAGCGATCACACGTTTCCGTTTTTCGCTAAATCCTCATTTGTGCCAACGAGACTCCATTTCATCACTAACCCTTATTCTCTGCATCGCCTGCGCGTTGTGGTGTGTAACATCATGTTCACCTCAAGTACCGATGAGTTTGGCACCACCAGCACTAGTTGTTCCCACTTGACCACCGCATACCGCTTGGTAATGGAGCATAATTGAAAGATAACAACAGTACGCCGGTACGCAGTACCAACGCTTCGCTGCCGCGCAACCACCACTACTCGCACGTGGACTAAGGATACTGCGAGATTCGCAGGCTCGGACCGGCGCCCTCGGATTACAAAGCATGCTTGGGATCCTTCAAGCTACGGGCCGGCACACAACTGAAACGGTTATAACCAGTTGCTCGCCTTTTTACCACTGATGTCACGGTTGGTGTGTTAGTTCAAAGCGTTTAGCATCACGCTGCGTGGCAACGTAGTACTCGCAACTTCCCGAGATGTTCGCTGTCCAATCCGGTTCTCCTCGGCAATATTGCTGGGGAGAGAATGTTGAGGTACCGACGCTGGTAATTTCAGAGGATGTATGGTGGCACTCGATATACACGGGTCTGTACAACAGCTTAATCAGACACCTTTTATTACACGTACGACCTCAGTTTGTTAGTTATAATTGAGGGGACGCCTCTTGATATGATTGCGTAATTGCCTGATAAGATTGTCGCTGACACGGTTGGAGCACGCCTACGGCTTGTAACGCTGGCCAGTCGAACGGAGTTGCGCTGACCTGATGACGTTGGCTTAGCCGGTGAGACGGAAATTGAGCGAGCGTGTGAACGATCCTAGCCGCACGTGTTCGGATAGACGCTGAGCCCTCGGAACGGACGCACACGAGAGGGGGTTACGATAGACGCGCGCAAATGACTTAGACGCGAACGCTGGCCAGCTAACGACGCACACAACTCACGTGACCCGACCGACTCCCAAGTAAGGCGAAGAGGAAAGGAAGACAGGCGGTCCTCTGAAGGCTCTTTTACGACCAACAAAGGGCGAATCACAGCCAATGCTATGGGTCATTAAGTAAGGGAAAATTTCTACCATGACGAGGTGGTAGTTTGTAAAAGGCCATTGTCAAAAGGTGCGTAATTGGGCCGCGTCTCGGAGTGGCTGATCACTGCAACGTTGTGGGGAGGAATTGAACCTCGCTTTCCACAGCCGTTCTGCCGGGGTTCTGGCGCGCTTTTGCGGGAATATTTTACGGGCCCGCAACAGTTAGATGTAAACTTCCCGAGAGAGTCACAAATAAACTCAATGTCAACCGAAATTCTAGTCTTCTTCTTGGCTTACATGTAGACTGATCTTGCACCCATTGCGTTGGTGCCTTGTGACTGCGTTCGTCTGGGTTTCACGTACAGTAGCGTACATTCTACTGCACCTCCATGTATACAGCAACCGGTCCTCGCACAGTGGCACTCGACTTTTTTTCCTAACATCATTCCCAGGGGTAAACCGGTCACACGAAATACACCCGTGAAAGCGAAGACGAGATAACGAACCGCATAGCGAAAGCTCGAAGTGCTTTTGCTAACCTTCGCCACCTATGGCGACGGCGCGACATTACTCTCGCCCTGAAGGGTAGAGTGTACAATGCAGCGGTACGTTCGACCTTACTGTACGGTTCCGAAACCTGGCCCCTAAGATCGGCGGACATGAAGAGGCTACTTACGTTCGACCATCGGTGCCTTCGCAGTTTGGCTCACATCTGGTGGGAACATTGCGTGAGTAACGAGCGTGTTCGACGTCTTGTTTACGGCCTAGGAAAAGGGAATGAACCGCTCAGCACCGTCATTTCATTCACCAGGCTCCGATGGCTGGGCCACGTATTGCGCATGCCAGCCCACCGACTCCCGCGACGTGCGTTGTTTGCTCACCGGGGATGTGGGTGGAAGAAGAGGAGAGGTGGCCAAGCGATGACTTGGTCCAGAGGAATGAAGGCCCTCACTTCGGAGCTGGCCTCAGTTGGAGCTTCACGGCTCCCTGGTTGGGGTCCAAAAGACGGTGAACACGTTTGGCTGGATACACTTGCTGATATGGCAAGGAGCCGACCTCAGTGGCGTTCCTGCTGTGAGTTTCTTTGTCCCTCCCCATCCCTTTAGCCTCCCCCTCCATCTACGATCTTATTTCGTAGGGTAAAACGTAATTAAATTTTTGGTTTTGCCTAGTAGCCGGCTAGTAGCTTACCGGAACGATGCGTATCCGTTGCTGGTAGCTCAGCTGGCATTCAACTGTCGTATTTATTTTTCCTTTATGTATTGTATGTATGTATGTATTTCCTTTGTATTGCGGTCCAATAGCGGAGGTGTTTTACCATCTCTAGCTGACATGTATAATGATGATGATGATGACCCGTGAAAGCAATCAACGCATATTTTCGGTTTTTGATCTCGGCATCGTTCTCAACGGTCGTTTTACGCATTTCACAAGGCGCTTGCTTGCATCACACCCTTAGTCCCAACGTCACTTCCTTTTTTGTGATTCCCATCATTTTACTTTCTTTGTCTATAGGAACAGTTTCCATACACCACGCTGTATCTCAGTCCAACAGGTCACATTACAATGCCGTTGTTTGTTTCCAAGGGCTCTTACGCCTGGAGTGAACACTTACTGGTTTATACATTTGTGTCATTCTTGTATTTTAGCAAACCATTGCTGTTTACCTTGGCTTTCGTTCATCTCCCGTTTTAGCCCGAGTCCGTTTATGTCCACATATTTAATATGTGACTGATGAAAGTTAGATTTTACTTGTATGACTGGGCGGTAACCCAGTCTCCATTTGGTTCGCGATTAAAGTTGCGTCCAGCCTCTGTCACTTCGGTCACCAATACCTTGTCTGAAACAAATAGATGTTCGATGTTGCCTGTTTGTCACACTGGATTGGGACCGATCGCAATGCGTAGTGTTACGAGCGGTCGAGGTCAACCATTAATCTATTTCGGACACGATCTTATTGACTAACTTTAACTGAGGTTTACTTTAGCTCTAACCTCGCGATACGTACTAAGGTTGCCTTTCGCAATTCTTTTCCACAGTGAATTCTTCAACTGAGCCCACAACTTTCTCGTGAGCCGCTTACTTACTATAGCTTACCATACATTTTGTGTGCACTTAGAAACTCACTGCTCACTGGATAGCTAGATCTTTATGAATGCGTCTGCATCCACACCACTTGAATTAAGCCTTTTGTTTTCGATAGAAATTCGGCATCCAATTAACTTTGCTCTCTTCTGTACTTTGACGGGCAGCCTAATGTTGACCGTCTTTATTTTCTGACGCAGAATATGTTGTTGTTCCACAGGGCGAACTCACATGGCATTTGTGGAACACTTGGTCACCGACGGCGACGGAGACCCGTACCGTGAGATGATTGGCCTCGTCACTCTGGAAGATGTGATTGAAGAAATAATTCAAGCCGAAATAGTGGATGAGACAGATATTCTGAGTGAGTTGAATTACCACACATACTCATTCTCGCTCGTACTCGAACTAGGCTCCAATTAGATTCGCTAGTTTTCCACTCTTTCATTACTTAAACGATTACCGATCCATTTTTAATACCGTTTCAGCCAAACTCATTTTCTCGCTGAGCTTTCCTTCTCAAATTTCGAGATTGTTTCCCGGTTTGCTCGCTGTTACGAGCACTTTTCAGCATGGTATATATTGTTCACCAGTTCTAGTCGACACAGCGCTCTCCTGCTGCCTTACTCTTGTTCTTGATCTTATAAGACACACTCTGCGTCGTCATCTATTACAGCTTGGGTTTGTAATGCATATTTCCACCTGTTCATTGATTCTAACCGAACCACTGCTGCAGATTCTTTGATGGAGATTGTGTATTCTCACCGTTAACACGAATCAAGACGAGAGATCAGTTCAGGGTTAAGACTTCTTTTCTGTTAACTCTCCTCCGACCCAAAGATTTCTATAGTACAGGTTATTTGCGGTAAGCACCAACTCAGACGGGATTGATTTCTAAGTTGTTTGAACCATCAACTCGATAGCTTAAGACTGGGCCAGATGAATTAAGAGAAAATTAATGCACAAACCTCATCAGTCTGAAGAAGGTAGCTAAGTTACCAACCAGTGTGTCTCGGCCACGGTAGTGATATCGGCTGTACGAATCGTTTTTGCATCCAATTCCGGCTTCAGACAGTGCATATGGGAAGCGTCGATAATAGACGGGAGTTGCTTCGCACTCCTTCCGTGAATCGTTCAGGCAGTGAGTGGGTGACTTTGAAATCATTATCACGACATCAAAGAATGGGGGGTACATCGCAGAACTCTATGACATTCAGAATGTCGTGGCTTTTGACGTCACCCGTCTAATTTCGTCCACAAACTACCAAGGTAGCACGCCATGAATTTTGAAACTTACCTTGGCTGCACGCGAAACGGTATCAGTGGCAATCCAAGCATAGCATGACAATAGGGAACTTGGGCCACCAGAAGTATGGTTAAAACCATTCCTTCATATACTACAGACCTCGGATACAGATGAGCCAGCCTCAATTGGACCTATCTCAGATCAGCCAACCGTACAAACAGCTGTTTCAAAAAACTTCAGCAGACCGGCACTATTTGTGCCGGTCACTCACAGCGAACCGAGCTCTTGATGCGTCGACAAACACCATGCTGCTACCCCAACACTCAGGGGTTGTATCCTAAGCTCTCGGAACTGCACCATCGACATGAAACAACAATTTGGGACCTCATAGCAGTTACTGAAACTTGGCTCTGAAACGACATACTCGATCCAGAGATGGAACTCAGTGAGATGTCAGTCATTCGAAATGACCCTCCATCTCGCTTTGGCCTTGTGGCTCTCTACTATCGAGATTATTTGAAATGTGAGGTCCTTACCGAAAATTCCATTGGTATCCCCGACGCACTATTTTGCCGACTACACTTAGCAGATCGAGATGTTGGTTCACAGAAGACGAGTGATGCTTGCCTCGTAGCAGTTATCTAGAGACCTCCGAAGTCATCAGCAGACAGCGATAACATTCTGCTAAACGACCTATGCTATGCTGTTTCACAAAATTACTCTCACTATCTTATAATGGACGATCTTAATGTTCCTTCAGTAGCATAGATGTCCCCTAATGGGCCATCATTTAAATCGAAACTCATCGAATTCATGGATATGGCAATTTTGTATAACCATGTGCGTCGATCAAACAGACACCGCGTTTCAAACAAGCCATCACTCCTGCACTTAATCCTGACTAATGAAGAGTTGATGGTTAAGTCAGTAGCAGACGATCCTCCACTGGGTTGTAGCGACCGTTCAGTCCCAATATTTGGTTATGTGTGTCATGTCAGTATTGTTACTAAAGAAAGTGGGTCTCAACGAACTATTACGGACTATTTTAAGCTATGCAACTTAGCAGCAACCGTGGACTGGGACCTACAGACGGACTGCTCAGCAAATGACGCATGGAATGAACTGAAAGACAAAATTAACTGGGTCATACAACCAGCATCCAAGGTTGTACCATTACGAGCATCTCGCCGGACCAATACGTGGATCCAGAGCAGAACACGAAAATGGATCAACAGAAGAGATAACATCTGGAGGCAACATTTGATAAGCCCATGTGATACCACATGGTAGAATTACAAAGTCATCAGAAACTACTGCACGTCGCTCATTAGAGTCGATAAGTACGAATGGCAGGAAGACATGATGCTGAAATTTACGAGTAACAGCAAACTACTATACAGATTTGTGAATGGCAAAAGAAAGGATAAGCCCGGAATACCACCACTCAAGACGGCCGGTGGCCTAACAACTGCTGTGGATGCCGCGAACGCTCTACTCCTGAAGTTTGGCTCGGTAGCTACAAATTCCGTGGAACCTTCACCCTATCAACTCTCAACAAATGTCCTTGGCTTGTCCAGCTTGTCCAGCAGCTGTTGCAATCAAATTAGTCTCCGGGACTACAGTGCCCCTGGAATTGACATGCTCTGCCCAAAAGTACTGAAAACCCTTTCTCCCACCATAGCAGCACTACTTGCAACCTTTTTCCAGGGTCTACTTAACTCCCATACACTCCCATCTGAGTGGAAAAAGAATTATCACTCCAATGTACAAAGGAAGTAAGTAATCGGATCCTGCCAACTACCGATCTATTACACTCCTTCCTGTTTTAGCAAAAGCGATGGAATCAGTAATTGCAGATAAACTGACGCGATACTTTGAAAGTCAGCAAATAATTTCTAAGGACCAACATGGTTTCAGACGCAGACGATCTTGTCTCACCAATTTGCTGCTTACTCGGGAGTTATGGAGCAGGGCGGCTGATGAATGAGTCCCTAAGATGTGCTTTACTTTGCTTTTTCTAATGCATTCGACAAGGTAAATCACTTCTTTTTCCTCCAAAAGCTTGCTGCTTGTGGTATCAACGGTTCCCTGTTCACCTGGTTAGAAGACTACTTCACGACAGAGCAATCAAGGTCAGAGTAGCCGACACTCACTCTTCAAGCCTGTTCGTCTCCAGTGATGTACCACAAGGATCCGTCCTCCGCCCGCTACTGTTTTTAGTCTACATTAATGAGCTTCCAGCAGATATTCTCTTCGTTGCAAATATTTGTGGACGATACTAAAATATGGAGAGCAATTCGATCAGCATCCGACGGTGTCTACCTCCAAGAAGATCTGACTCGAATTATCGAATGGGCAAAAAGGAACCAGGTCCCAGGAACCAGGTCCCTTCAAAGTACCATCTGCTGACGGTGCGCAGTAGCTTCGTCAACACGTACCTTTTGGGGCAATACGTCCTTCAACACGTGACTAGTGAACGCGACTTGGGTATAAGCGTGTAAGAGAGTCTTGCCAATTCGCTCCAATGTTGGAAAGCAGCAAGTGTGGCGAACTTGAACTTGAGACTTTTGAGGCGAACTCTCGGCACCTTTGGGGGACGGCTAGTACGATTAACTCCTATATTCGTCTTCACGTTGAATACGCAATTCAGGCCTGTGTCCATGGTTAAAACGAGATATTCGCCCATTGGAACAACCCAAAAAAAGAGCCACAGTGGTAACGCGTGGATTATCCTGTCTAAGTTACGAACTGCGTCTTCGTGTACTCGGTGTGTTCTCATTAGAATACCGATGGCTTCACGAAGATCTTATTCTCACATACCGGATACTATCTGAAAGCGATCATCCATGTACATCACTGTTGACTCTAGCCCCTTACAAACAAATCCGAAGCAACCACCTGCAAGTAATTAATGATGCAACACCCCCGCCTGGATTGTAGGAAGTATTTTTACTCACTTAGAATCTGTTCTCACCAGAATGCATTATCAAGATATGTGGTGAACGCACCAGACATGACGACATTCGAAAGACTCTTAGACTTTCCTCTTAGTTATAAGCGTTACACAACAATTTGATAAAGTTCAGTGGTTTAAACAATGATACTTTAGGTTCCACGTTGGAACCTCTTGATTTTAATTGTCTTTTGCGCATCCTCCCTGTGGGTCTTGCAAGGTTATGCTTTTTATCCCATCATGCACTATTGAACTATCAGAAGATGTCTAGCCATAGACAAGGAGGTGCGACATGATTGAACTGTTTGAGGACCCCATTTCACCCTTGTACAACCATGCCGGGATGTGCTGGTAAATTCTCTGTGATAGGCGCTTCATAGTGCGACTCACGTATTGTGCACCGCAGCATTACCGGTAAACGACTATTAAACGGATCAACAAGGGCAATCTATCTGTCAGAGTTTTGCAAGTAATGGCTTGTTGTGGGGGTCAATTATCAATCGGGCCGCGAAGTTTGTTTTCTCTACGGTATTTTTATGTATCGAGATATCAGCTGCAGAATCGCCCTTAAATGACAATCATTTGAAAAGCTGTTTCTTAGAGGCAATATTGATGGTTTCCGATTGCATTCCTTCAATTGTTTCACGATAAATTTGTCAGGTAACCATTTTCCCTCAGGGTGTCGTTCTTCTTTGACGGTATCCGAAGTGCAAATATTGCACTCTCTGAAGGCGAGAGAACGGATTAGATTCTTCTTATGCTGTAAAGATATCGCGCTGTGGATGTTAGTCTACTGCCCAGTCCATGTATGCTTTCTATGTACCTCTCTGCTGCAAGATCCGTCCAAGTTACGGATAACCTCCACATCCAGGAAAGGTAACCGCTTTCCTAATTCGTCTTCGCAGGTATAACGGAGTTACTCATTTGCGTCACCGTTCACTTCACGAACACTATCTGACACACAAGATTGTCGTGCTGATGATGGGGTGTGCACAGCATTTCTTCCCATGAATGACTTTCTACAACACGAATACAGTTATTTCCATAGTTCTCCACATCTCGGAGTACGTAGTAAAGTACATTTCTATAGCTGACCGGTGTTTACTAGTTTATGTGGTCTGGTACGGAATACAATGGTAAAACGTTGACTTCTGAATTTCCACCATGTCCCAAAAGTAAGTGTACTTATTTTCCTATGTACTACTAGATAAAGCAACACCTCATTGGTGGATATCAGCGCCTGGGTAGAGATTTTAACTGCATATCTAAACTTGTTTCAACTTGATGGGCCGAATCGTTCCCTCCCTAGTGTAACTTGTGTAAGGTCGTGTTTGCGGTGGAGCGAAATGTCGAACACCGGCACGCTCTCAAATTTTGTATGAAACTCACGAAGTCTGCCACCGAGACATTTGCAAATTTGACGGAACCTTGTAAAGATGCCACTCTATCGAGGAATATGGCTTTTTGTGGCATAAAACTTTCACAGAGGATCGAGAAAATGTTGAAGACGAATCTCGTACCGGAGGGCCAATCTCGTCCACAAATGATCGAAATGTGGAAGTTGTGCGAGCTGTGCTTAAGAAAACAATGATTGTCGTTTTCTCGACAGCCGCAAAGTTGTGTGTAAAGAATTGTTACCTCCAGGACAGACCTTCCACAAAGGTGTCTTGGAACATTTAAATAAAAGGTCTCCACACTTACTTTTGGGACACAGGTTCTATACTAAGTGTACACGCGGCACTCACTTGAAGTGGAGTGGGCTGATCGGGCTTCACTGCATAGGACTATGACATTTGTCATTTGAAATGTGGTCTGATTTTATGGTGCCGTTATGTGTAGCCTACTTGGAGCTTCTGCTCCAGTGCGCTAGTCTCAATACATCATTTGGAACATTCACCTTCCCTCCTGAAATCCTCTGATCGTTATGTACTACCGAAAGGTTGAATGATAAAAGGCGCTTTGTGATTCTGCGATTTTTTCATGTTCATGCGGTGAATCAGCCTGACCTAAACTGGCCAGCTGGCTGAACATAAAGGCCGTACTGTGGGGCAATCCGTGTGGAACTGTCAGCATTTACCTAGGGGAGTTGCTAGCATTCCACTCTGTTCAAGTCAACTGGTACTCATCCGGCCACCCTTGGTCCGTATCTTTCACTTACCATGCCTTGGTTTTGGCTTTGATGTTTGGCATGCCTTCATCTAAGTGTTAACAGCTAACACGATACCACGTGGGCACCTTGTTTTGGGTCTGTCATCCGAAACTTATCAATCCAACCGCTCACGTTCTACGGTCACCTATATGCATTCACATCCAGGCTTTCGATTCCTTCCTATTCGTTTGACGGACTGTTATTTTCTTCTCTTTTGATAGCCCACCTTACTTTTGAGTCTTCCGTTCGTTTTCCGCATTCCTATAGCCGATAACGTGCATCATCAACCGCGCTACGTGCGCAGACGGGATTTCCGGATGTTCAGCATGCCGGACAAACAGCGACCATCCAGACTATCACCTCAGCTAAAAATTGCCGTCCTACGTCATTTGGCTTCCAGTGAGTTAGCTTTCCATTCATTTCCTCTCCTTGAATTTCCAACTCTCACGTGGACGCTCTGCCGGTACAGCATTAATTTCAGGAACTACTTTGTGTCGTATCTTTTCTCCCGCTATCATTTACGTGAATGTGAGAGGCGTTGCAACGTACCCATTTATTTTAGTTGTTCTGATCCAAACAGTCTGTTCATTACACTAACTGTGGCGATTGCTCCAATACCTACACATCTGCATCTGCAACCCAACTGCTTGCTCCCTCCCTCACGGTTTTTTATCCTTTTCGTTCTGTTTCAACTTCACCTTGACCTCCCCTTTTCAGCGCCCCTGTCCAATTCTTAACTGACTTCCACCTTGTTTCGATAGTCGCTCGTCTTATAGTTTTGATTCACACAAGTAACGGGACGTCGCTCTGGTCTAGTCGACAAATCCATGTCCACCTGTAACTTGGTGTGCCCCATCATCCTCCAAGCGTTGCTCGCAGATTTATCACATCGTCATAGGTCATCGGTGACATGACAGTATTCAGGACTGCAGATCTTGTTGGACGACTTGTGTCGAATCTGATTATGCGCTGGTATGTGCATCGGTTTGCATGCCTTTTGGTGGCTCGCCTGAGATTAGGCGAACTCGATTAAACAGTGGTACGTCGGAACGCCCCACCTGACACCAGAATCTCCATGAAGATCCCACTTTTTTCCCTCCTCGGGACGTTGGGCAGCATTGGTTGAGCTTGTAGCATATTGTGTTTTCTGCAGGTTTATCCACTTGTCGTCTTGTTTTCTGCACACTTCGGTAACGCCCTTTGAACTACATGACCATCGGCGTGTTGTACTCGTCGGTGTGGGGCACAATGAAGTCCGTCGGTCAATTTCTAAACTGATGAAAGCAAATCTTCGTCGTGACCGTGACCACGAAAATGAGGATTACTGCCCGTGCGTAGAACAACTGCAGTTTGTTTTATCGCATTCACCGGACGCAAATCACGTTCCATCAGAGACGATCTGCGAGTTAGGCGCTATAAAGATGACCAGCCTACGCAAGCGTCCCGATCGCTGGGTGGAGCACTTCGTTCATCACTTTAATTACTTAACCGTCTCCATGTGATGCTTGGGCTGTATGCACATATCATACTGAAGTGGAGATTCGAAAGGAAGTCCATACTCTGAAACGCCACAAATCTCTTGACCCTGACATTTCCTGCGGCCTTATTCAAAGATGAAAAGAATTTGATCCTCATCAAGCTCCTGTCACTGTTCACGAAGGTACGGACAGATGCGAAGGTCCCCGATTCATGGGGCGAGTTTGTCGTGGTACCGATGTGCGAGAAAAGCTCCTGTAACGGAAACACCAATTACCATGGTATCTCACTTCTCTATCGCGTCCAATGTTTTATATTCAAGGATGTTTGTCTCGCTAGGAACAGAGGCTGATTGTTTGGACCACGGTTATATCAACCAGATCTTCACACTGCATCAAATTCTCCAACATCACCACGCCCGCCATAGACCAACAGTTGTAGTGTTCTTAGACACTCGGGTCGCTTTGGTTCCGTAGATAGATCATCTCTATGGAACTGTCTGTTAAGGAACAATGTACTCGACTAGTTTGTTGTTATTCTGAAAGAATTGTATAGTCACACGTGGGGAAGTTAGACTTTTTTCCTCGTTCGCTGTTACCAGTGGAGCGTGCCTCAATGTGTTGTGTCTCCGTTCCTGTTTAACTTCGTCATCAAAGACGTTCTCCTTCGCGTAATGGAAGAAGCTCCGAGCTGCTGTGTTGCGCTTCTTCTCGGGGACAGAGTCGTACACCTGGACTATGCAGATAGCATCGGTTTACTGAGGAACGATGCACGAACCTATTAAAGCGCTTAGCGATAGAGGAAACTAACTATGGTCTGTGCACCTTATTGCGGGTGACAGCTTGGTGCAACTTAATAGCTTTACTTATCTCGGGAGTTGCATTACGGCTGGTGACAGTGTCGGAAGTGAAATTTCACAACGAATTACCAAACTTCACCTTGTATTCACCGTCCTGAGGCGCTTGTGACGTAGCGATGTCAATCTCAGTATCACCGTCCGTGCGGTCTTGCTGTTCGGCTGCGATACTTGGTCTGTTCGTGTGGAAAACTTGAGATGATCATCAGCCTTCGGTACTCGATGTTTGCGGACCATTGGTCATGTGTGGTGGAAGTCAGAAGCCAAGTACCCAGTGCGGACAGTCTTTGCATCCAGGGTCTTCTTCTCCAACACCGTTTGCGTTGGCTGAGTCACGTACTGGGATTACCAACGTGTCGTCTCCTTCGTCGCACTTTATTTGCACTTTCTGGCTGTGAATAGAAGAAATGCCGCGACAGACAACTGATGACGCGGAAGAAGAACATAGAGAGTATTACCTAATGTCTAGCGTCAGTTGAATCTGTCCGTCTCCCAGTTTGGGGATAACTTGATTCTGACTCCTATTGGTTAGAAGTCTTGGAAATTATGGGCCGCAGTAGAAATCATTGGCGGCAGTGCTGTCTACCCTATGTCTTTCTCGTCACATCCAGTTTTAAACAAAGCGAAAACAAAAACCACATACAAGATGCGATACATTAGAAAAACTTCCCCTTTTGGTACAATTTCCGTCACTTTGTTGAACAACCTTTTTCCCTCCCATTACCGCTATGGTTAGGATGACAATGTTGTCTGTTTTCATACTTGTGAATAAATACGTATCTTACTGTGACTATCATATTCGCAGTAACTAACACCCATCTCTTTGCGATTGAATCGAGCCATCCTCCGATTTTTACACCGCATTCCCCTCCCTTTTTCACTGTTACACACACAACTCCGTATTGCACGACTACTTCAACCTTTGCCTACAAGAGACTTTGTTTGGGCCTTAAGATGTACTCTCCGGCTGTTCTGTTGCTCTTCCGCGTAGACCAATGGTTCTCAACTTAAGGGAGTAATTACTCCTAAGGGGATAAAATAACATTTTACTAGTGGGTACATATATGTACGAGGATTGGATCATCAATCAGTCGCTATACAAACTCATCTGTATCAATACATGTACCCAAACTACCTAATTCCTGTTGATTAGCTATCAGTGAATAATCATTAGCAAGTGGTCAGTGAATTAGACAATTTTCGGCAACAAATTTGGTCACCTAAAATACAAATACAAGCCTGCAGAGCAGCGCAGCTATCGGCTCGCTCATCAAGTTCAAGTTCAATTGGGACTGGAACCATAGGAGAATCCCGTGTTCTTTTTTGAGTGGATCGTTGAGCCAGAAATTGATGAAGTGCTCGGAGTTCTTGTTGACCATCCAAATAATGCCCGCCTTTTTTGCCCTAGCAATCATTGCTGTGGCAGTCACGTGAAGTAAGCGAAGGATAGGAAGAGAAATCGAAGGTACCGAATAAGGAAGTGCACTTGAAATAAGAAAACAATACCAATGCATGAAGAAAATTAGAGAAACGAACAGCGAAGTATGAAGATGCGAGTTACTCAGGAAAATAGAAAGGTTCGTGTTACCACCCAAGAGCGTCAGGTTGCCACTCAAACCCCTTAACCGTAGATTCCCTGATAACACTTTCCGGAAGCATGTTCCAGCACTCGATGACTGCGTGACAGCCGGATTTCCGCCCTAATCCGATCGGACTGCGGTTTTTCCAGTTTCAAGGAATGACCGCGTAGAACAGACAATCTAGTGGGCCTGAATAGCCGAGATACATCTGGACCAACCTTCCCAGTTAAGATACGGTAGGTTACGAGTAGGTCTCCTCTAATCCTTCGGTAGTGCATTGAATGTATTCCCAAACTAAGTAGACGCTCGGGGTACCTCCGTCCCCTTAATCCCTCAACCAACCTAGTGCCCACCCGGATGAGGCAGGGCGGACAAGCCTGGACGCAATATTCCAGATGAGGCCTAACGAAAGCCGAGAACAGTCTCACAAAGATCTCGTCCGTCAAGATTCCGAAAGAACGGTGTATTATCCACAACATACGGAAACCTCTGCTTGCGGTCTTCTTCTAGTTGTCGCCAGAGTATAAAGTCGAAGAGTGTAGGACGCTAGATCAACCTGGCTAGATGCCGGCGGCAGTTCGACTCCATCGACCAAGGAGGACAACCTCCTCCAGTTCGAAGAACGGAGCGCTTTGCCTGGTTTATGGGCAGTAACCATAAATTAGACCAGTCCCAAAGCTTATCCATGGCTCACTGAATAGCTTCGGAACCCCCAGGAACATCGACAATATTCCACAGTTTCAGGTCATCAGCAAATAGAAGCGATGGTACCTCAACTTCTGCGGGTAGGTCATTCACCTAGATAGAGAACTGCAGCTGTTCAATTATCGAGTCCTGCGGCACGCGACCGAGGACAGACTGCTAAACGATAGGCCACGGCTTACCCGTACACACTTCTCTACCATCCAAGAAGACAGTCTCCCAATGAAGGGCGCGGTCAGATACCCGTAATAGGTCAGTTTTTGCGCAAGCCTTCGAAAAGTCGACGAAAAGCACGTCCGGTGTGTGACCGTTATCCACTGGATCCACACAACTTCGCGAACCACCAATAGATTCGTAAGACACAAAATCCCTTCCGTGTTGTGCATTCCTGAGTATATTAAGTCTGCTCAGATGCCGCTCCACCACCAGTTTCTCGAGAAGTTTGACCACTATACTCGTCAGACTGACTAGACTGTACTTTGCAGGCAGACTCCTGTCCCCATTTTTGAAGATGGGACAGCTTCCTTCCATTCGGAAGGTAATGCACAGCTATCAAGCGATTTCTGAAACACCATAGTGAGCGGTCCACTTAGTTCCGCAGCCAACTCATGTAACAGTTTCGGGTGAATGAAATCAGGCCCAGATGCCTTACAAAGGTTCAGCCCTTGTAACAACCTACAGGCTTCCTTCTCCGCTGCAATAAATTCAGATACTCCCTACCCCTCTGGGATCCTGCAAACCAGCTCAACGCCTGTCAAAGGGGTTTCCTTTACAAACACTGCCGC